CAGCTTTGTGAGCCATCCACACAGTCTGTACTGACATTTCCTCAGTAGAGTTTGTGTGAAAGTAGGCAATGAGTTCAGCTTTTATTTGGTTCATAAAGTCGTGGTCTCGGAGTAAGGAATCGTTCATTCTCCAAGTCCCCCGTCCTTTAAACTGAAAGGAGTCATGTAACCCCAAGTACACTGGGCTATGGTCTGACCAAGTGATATCTCCTATAGAGCATGTAGAGATTTGTGCTAATGTGGGTTGGTCTACGTAGAATGTGTCTATACGGGTATACGTGTTGTGTGCCGCCGAGTGAAAGGAGTAGTCTCTTTCCCCTGGGTGCAGCATTCTCCAACTATCATATAGGTTGTGTAGTGAGAGCAGTTTGGACACTGCCTTGCACGTGGAGTTTACGGTCGCCCGTCGTGTCCCCTGGGGTATGGCAGTCGTGTCGACTTCTGGGGAGGTAAAGAAGTTGAAGTCCCCACAGAGCACCAGTCCACCTTGTCTATATTTGTCTATGTCTTGCAGAAGACGTCTAAGGTATTTTTCTGTCCCAGTATTTGGGAAGTAGGCAGATACCAAGGTATATTGGGTATTATTAAAAAGCCCTACTAGTAGGACATATCTCCCTTGGGCATCTACTAATTTTGTCTGCTCCTGGAATGCTACGTCTTTATGTATAAGGATGGAGGCCCCTTTCGTTTTACTGTCTGAGAGGGCATGGTATTGATTTGGGTATAGTTTAGTGAAGATTTCTGGGGTCTTGGCCTTTTTAAAATGTGTCTCCTGGATACAGGCTATGTCTATCCCTTGTTCTTTTAGCTCTTGAAGTAGTAGTCTTCGTTTACCTGGGGTGTTCAGCCCCTTGACGTTATAAGTTAGTAGTTTCATGCAGGAGTGTCAGGTGAAAATAGCGTGCTTAGGTGGGTCGGGTTCTGTCCATCTGCGCTTATAATCGGTACTGCAATTGCCCTGAGTGGGGGTTGTGCCTGGCGTGCGTCGCTGTGCAATCTGAGAATGTGACCAGTCGGGGAGTGAGGGAAGTAAGTAGGGGGTAAAACTGGGGTGAAGAGAACAATTGGGTAAGATACCCATTTCGGCTCCAAGGAGTGGGGCCTTGCCCTGCTGCCTAGCATGGAGGCGCGGCAGTCGGGGGGGTGGAGGCATAGGAGACTTTTTTATAGATAAAAACATAAAGTCTTTCCAAGAAATATATGAACTGAATAGCCCTTTAAAATCTGAGTTTTAAGCATACCAAAAAATAAGAAACATTTTGAAAACTAAGTGTATTGAAGAAGATCTGTTTGATAAAATTGTATCGATAAAGGGGTAAGATAAGATAATTTCAAAAATAGATAGAATATTATACGATTATACTCCTAGGAATAAATTAAATAAAATTAGTAGATGGGAACAAGAAATCAAAATAGATTTCTCTGAAAAAGATTGGGCAAAGGCATTTAAATTAACAAAAAAAAAAAAACATAATATTATTATTTATGAGAATTACATCAAGATTCTACATCGGTGGTACATGGTACCAGTAAAACTTTTTAAATTTCAAAATGGTTCTAATGATATTTGTTGGCGCTGTAACATGTTTAAGGGTACACATCTTCATATATGGTGGGACTGTCCAAGGCTTCAATTAGTGAAAAATAAATTGGAAATGGTAATAGGTGGAATTTATGGAATGAATATCTGATTAACCTCTTACACATTTTTATTTCATTTAGATTTACCAGATAGTAATATATATTCTCATAGGTTGATGATACAGATTATAATGGCATCAAAAATTTGTATGGCCAGACGATGGAAATCTAGTATGGTCCCGACATGTACGGAGATACAAGCTCAGATAAATTTTCAAAAAATTATGAAAAAAGCTGTGTATGTTAATATGGGAAAAAAGGAGGAATTTTATAGAATATGGAATCGCTGGGAGCATAGAGATTTTTCAGAGGTGACCTAGAAGGCTGATTCCCTCTTCTCCCGACAGTGCTCAAGAATGTATGAGTTTAGTATGATTGGTTGAATAACTGAGGTAGAGTGTAGCTACGTCATTTTGTTTAAATATAAATATTTAATATAGTATGAAATTACAAAATAAATGTTTCAACAAATGATGATTTGGTATTTGATATTTGAGCTAATTATGACAAATATATTATGAATTAAATACCATTATCTGATTTAAAAAAAAAAAGACCTTTTTGAAGAAAAAAAAATCTTTATTTAGTCAATATACATAACATCAAGGAGTTTTAAAATGACACATTTATTAAGATTTTGTAAGATCTTTGAATTCTTACATCTTTGACAATAATTCCTGACTAACTGGTTTTACAAATGTCAACTAGTTTTGAGAAATTAGAGACAACTTTTGTCTGACTTTTTATGGATGTTATCTTTCTGTTTATTGCAGAGTCGGTGTGTAAAGGTTTGTTTCTTAACCCCTTAAGGACACATAACGTGTGACATGTCATGATTCCCTTTTAATCCAGAAGTTTGGTCCTTAAGGGGTTAAAAAGTGACATGTAATTTATTTACTGTTGCCCTCAATTTAACACATTTGAATAAGCTTTTAAAATGATGTAATATTATGGATAAACTTTTAAAATTACTTTTCCAAAATATTAATATTAATTCTAATTTATGGTGCTAAAACTGTATCTTTAATTAAAGAAATCTGGCTTGTTGCTTTTTTTCAGTTTATGTACCATACCCCCAACGTCAGCAGCCCATGAAGTGGGACACTGGTAAGCAGGGATAAAAGGAACATCGGTAAAAGGAGCGGACCTAGTGACACAAATCATGTTACTGATGCTGCTCAAATATGCCAATTAAGTAGGTGTGCCCAACAAGTGCAGACAATGCAGGGAGCACTGTTTTAGTGCTCTCTAGGGTGTCCGTGTGCCCTGAGCATAGTGCAAGCGTAACTAATGCACTCATAGTGCACTCATGCTATGCTTTGTGGGGACAATTCCCTGGTGTCCTCAAAGGTATTAGGGAGCCAAGTCAGATTGGCGGGATAGAATCCTGAAATTGGGACTGTCCCACTGAAATGAGGAATGCTGGGAGACATGATGTACCATGGTATAGATGTTACATTTTCCTTTGACGTAATTTCCTCTGCTCTTTGAGACATTTCTTAAATGTCACTGAACTGCCATGGCATCTCTGCTTCAAGCTATATATATATATTTATTGCTGTCAAACTCTTTGAAATATATGGGTAATTTAGTACCCTTCCTAAGAATTTAATCCTAGTGTCTATTCTTTGCACCCTTGAATGTACTGAGGATTCTGCATGATTTCAATAAAAATGTATAATTTAGATTTCACAACAAACCATATCAATGGATTAACAAGTTTTATTTTATTTAAAGAAATGTAAATAATAATAAATACAAAATAGTAAAATATAGAAATGCTGTCTTGCATAAAACAGCGTCCATACAGAATTGACCCATCTGTTCTATCAAACATAGCCATGGTCAGCGCTGCTTGGTTTATTGGTCCAGAACTTCTAAAATTAGTTATAAAAATGTTTGTACAGCTGCTGGAATCATCATACGAAAGAGTGTGAAATTTTATGTTATGGAAAATTAAATACTATTATATTATATAGGCTATTCAAACCTAAGCCCTTCCAAGACATATCTTATCTCTGAGCCATGTCACTATGGATATTAATGCACACACAAAGCACACATTGATTCCTCCTTGTTCCCCATTCTAGATCAATCAGTGATTTGGCTCTTGACTGTCTGATCTTTTACATTAACAAATCGCTGGAGATGTTCCTTTTTCTTCAAGAAAGAACATTACTGTGAGATAACAATGGCAAATGGGACATGATAAAAAGACCATTGCAGTGACATGACAAAAGGGATACAAATACCAAGGAACAAAGGACAGGGTAATGCTAAAAACATGTGCTGGTTATCTGATTGGTAACCAAACAAGTTTTGCAGGTTTACTGAATGTTTGAAAATATATCATGCGCTGAAAGAGCAACAGGAACATCCAAGGGAATGCATAATTAATTTACCAAAAATATAATATTGACAGAAAAATGCATTTTGGGAAGCTAATATTTTCAAGTAAGAAAAGTTGTAAAAAGAAGAATTATAAAAACAAGAATAAGAAAAATGTTATTAGTCCTGGAACATCCATAGGGGTACTTTGTAGTAGCTTGCCTCTTGTTAGATACTGCAAAATCAATTGTAGAAGACTAAAAACTTTTTGTTGACTATTGTCAGTGAGCACAGCATCTATTGCCAAATGTATCACTATTATAAAACCAAATGGTAACACTTATGTTATGAAAACACTGCTATAGTTGTCCCCAATTCTCCTTTCTCTGTAGAGCGCAGACAACTTGGTGAGAATTGTGGAGCGCTGATTGGGAAACAGAACATTTCTGAATGTGTTCCTATTTAAATATCTCGTCTGAGTATACACATCCCATATATTTAGTCTTTGCCTAGAAATGATGTGTGATGTCACCATTCGCTTATGATAGGGGTCACTGGAGCTCGAAGACCAGGGGAAAGTGCATAATCAGTGATTCTATCATTCAGTCTCTTTCTCCTGACTAAATTCAGAACTTGGGAAAACCAATAGGAGAGGCAAATAGTCATATTACTAGACCTTAGAGTGGTCAGGGTTATTGTATAAAAAATGAGAAAGCGCAATCTGTAGACAAGCCAAGGCCAGGGTAATCGATATATGGTTAATCAGAGGTACCAGCCAAGTCAAGATCACAGACTAGTGAATAAATATACAACTAGCCAGGTCAGGGACACAGAGGTACTCAGAATCCCCCAAAAACAAGCTAAGGTCAAACCAGAAATACTAAGAACTATGCAAGGAACGTGCTAATCGGGAACTGTAACAGAAACCACCACAGGGCAATAAAATATGGGCAAAAAAAAAGAGATATTACTGCAAACGAGTAATAAAAAGGGTTAGGTCAGCATTGAAGGGACCCCTGCACCTTGGTGAACTGACGTGACGCACATCTGGGTCATTAAAGGACGTGCTACATGAGTCAATTTTGCTGTAAAGAAGTGCATCATAATAAGAGGGAGGCTAACAATGGCACTATTGTTAAGATTTTTTTATGAACTACATAAAATAGCAGATGTGTTGGTTATTGAAATGGGGTCAAAAATCAATGGAATGAAATATGGCAAGTGAGATACAAGTAGAGTTGTGATATCCACCATGTGCTACTTCTTGTTCCACTAAGTCAAAGTTGTGAGTTGAACTTATTTATATGCCTTGTAAAACAATTTATATAATAAATATTTTTTTCCTGGACTTATGTCATAGCTTCATGTTGAAGGGCACGTAAAAATGAAACAAAAGTGTGGCGGACCTGGCATCAGTCCCTGACGTTGCCAGAACCCATATGGAGTTCTTGTGAATAAATCTGTATCCCCCTGCTCGGGAACCAAATAGAACGTGTGGAGTTTCCCCCTGTTACTGACTTAGAACACTGACCACCCCTGGCTGTTAATCCCAATTAAGGAGTACTTGAGTGCTTTTCCTGGGTGGCCATTTTGTCTCCCAGGTGGCTGGCGGGTGAAATCTTCTCCCGAATAGCGATCTCGTTCCACAGAACCAGTTTGAGCGATTTTAGGATATGTTGTGCACTCAGATTCATGCTATTCAGGGATGTAGGAATTGTGGGGTTCCTGTATTGTTTTATTATGTTTTTGCGGGTGTTTTATAAAAAAGTATATATTTTATGTAACTGAGAGATAATTGAGTTATCTAAAATTCCCAGCTCAGTTATCTCTCAGACCCAGTGCATCTTTGGAAAATTCCCTGACAACTTGTCCTGGAGACCCCATACTATGGGGCTGTACATAAAAAGCTGTGTGTGGGCTAATAAAAATCTGTTAACTCCCAGAACTGTGTGTCGTCTAGTTACTAGGGGAATGGGCTATATTCACTAACCAGTGCTTCCCTTCCAGCTCCAGAGGATTCCAGCTGAGATATTAATTCTCAGCATTGCAGCTCGTAAGAACCTTTTTCTTTTTCCTTTTTTTACATGTATTGAAATTGGTTTCCTTTGTCTTATTTGTGTTTCTGTAGGTTTATGGTGTTGAACAGAGCTTGATCTTTCATTGATCATGGATCTAATATATGGGGTGAAGTGAGCAATGTCCAGCTTCTTAAACCTTCACCAGCCACCACCAAACCCTCGTCCCAATTAGCGCTGTATTTAGCGCAAGGCAAACAAGGCATTTGCCTTGGGCGGCACTTTCCAGGGGGCGGCAAAATATGCCACCCCCAAGTGCCCTGGCAAATACCTTGTTAGCCTTGACTTGTGGGGGGCCCAAGAGTTGGCCGGCTGGCCACCATTGAGCCCCCCCAGGGCACCCGGACAGTTTTATTTTTCAGACGGGCGGCGAGGGAGCGCTGATCTGAGCTCTTCCTGCTCAGCTCCCTTGTGCAACCTGCAAAGGATGCTGGGATGTGACGTCACTAAGCGGAGCGCAAGGGAGTTGAGCAGGAAGATCACAGCTCCCTCACCACCTATTTTGCACACCCACTCCCCTTCTTGCCTCTCCACCCTCCATTCTGCACGCCTGCCCGCCCAGTGGCCAGCCCAGCAGCCCTACTGGACCCCAGGTAAAATGCCACCCAGGTCTCCCAAAGGTAGGGAGGCTGGGTGGATTTAAATTAAAATAAAAGTAAATAATTATTTGTAAATGTTGGGGGAAAATGTGTGTGTGTATGTCAGTGCATGTGTGTGTGTGTCATTCTGTCAGTGTGTGTGTTTGTCACTGAATGTGTTGTTATATTGGTTAGTGTGTCGGAGTGAGTGTACCTGTAAGTGAGTTTGTTTGTCAGTGAATGTGTGTTTCTGTGAGTGAGTTTGTGTGTGTCTGTCAATGTGTGTGTTTGTCAGTGAATGTGTGTGTATGTCTATCAGTGTGTAAGTGTGTTTGTTTGTCAGTGAATATGTGTCTGTCAGTGAGTGTGTACGTGTCTTTCAGTGCGTGTGTCAGTGCGTGTCAGAGTGATTGTGTCAAATCAGTAATTGTGTGTGCACTGGTACATTTAATAATAAATACATTAAAAAAAAAAATATGCGAACAAAACAGTTGGAATTCTTTTCTGAAACACTCCTGACAACCTAAGACTTTCTACTTGGAAGTAGTCCAATTGCAGATAAAATAAGCGGTATCCCAAAAAATAATTGTTATATTCAAAATCTGCAGTAGAAGGTCTTGATAAAAAGAACCAGCCGAGGCCCTCAATTATGAAACAGGTCCTTCAATAAATACACCCAAATATAAAGAAACACCAATTTTATGCATACATGCTTTAATACACACTTATGGTACTTTGGAATTATCTATACTTGTCTCATCTGAGAATATTTTCATATCGGTATAAAGACTAAAAATTATTGTTCAAGGGTCAATATGACTGTCCACAAAGCCATCAGCTTAATAAAAGATTTGAATGAGGTATTTACTTACTCTGATATAAGAACATTATATTCTCATGGAGAGATAATTAAAGCTAGCCTGCATTTATTTATTTTTTATTTGTATAAGTCTTTATTCGTATTTTCATCGTACAAAAACATTATAAAACATACATACAATTATTAATCAAACATACAAAAATGTAAAATAATAAATATAGTTAAATTACATATAACAAAAAGTGCTGAATTGGCGCAAGAATATTCTTATCTTATATTTTTAAACTTCTTTAAGCTCTAAAGTACATATTTTACTCAGACTTTATATAAATATCGATATCAAATCCAAAAAAATATTCTTATTTATAGTGCTGTTACTGGCGTTTTGTCCATTTTGATTCTGACACACTCATATAAGAATCTATAGACCTGATCCCATAGTTTTTTAATTTTGTCACATCTCCACCATATATGTTTATAGCTTCCTACTACATTCTTACATCTCCAGCACATATCTGACACGCTAGCATTCATTTTATTTAATCTTGTTGGCACTAGATACCATCTGTTGCATACTTTAAAGTATGTTTCAACATTTTTGTTCATTTTTCTTTGTTCTAACTCGAGTTTCACCCCAGACACAGATATCAATTTTAATATTGCACTCAATTTCCCATTTTCTAAACTGTTTTGGCAACATAGTTTTGGACATTGATCTTATCAACGAATAACATTTGGATAATAATTTTGTTGATTTTTCTTTTTCAAAAATGTGTTTCATATATAATGAAATTTGACTTTTTCCTTCGTCTAAATTTTTTAACAACAATGATTTGACTCCTAAGTATTGAAATATTTCAGATGTAGGTAGATTGTGTTCTAGGGCTAATGTTGCAAATGTTTTCATTCTTCCCTCCTTTATTATATCATTTAAATCTCTAATATTCTTTTCTCTCCATAGATCTAATTTTAAATCATCTGTTAGAGATTCCAGTATTTCTAGTTCTATAAAACCATATAGCTCTCCTATATATTTCATCTTTTTTCTAATTTTATACCATGATGAAAAAATATGAGCTAAAATTATATTTTATTGTCTAGCAATACCAAGGATCTTAATTAAGTCTTTCTTGTTCAATAATTGTGTTTCCAGAATGAACCATCCTGCTTCTCTTACTTCTCTTTTAGTTATCATCTGAGTATGATCTATTATGATAGCTTCCTAATGTTTTTTGATACTGGGGAAGTTCATACCTCCCTGCCCCAAAGGGTTGGTCAGTTGCTCTAGATTAATATGAGGTCTAAAACTTCTCTGTATAATCTCCAACCAGCTGGCAGGTATTTTTAGAGGGATCATTTTGAACAAATAAGTCCATTTGGGAATTATACATTTACAGGGCCGCCATCAGGGAGTGACAACCATGACGGTTGTCACCGGCCCGGCGGACCTGGGGGGCCCGGACTGCTTTGGCAGTCCCGGCCCCACATTCCCTCTCTGCACATATATATATAGCGATGATCACTATATATGTGCAGCCGCGGGCCCCCGGCTCCCTATACTTGCAGAGGGGGCCCAGCAGATGGCATCTGAATTGTACAGCTCTTCCCTCTCTTTAACTTCGGGAGTTAGAGAGAGGGAAGAGCTGTAATGTGCTCCTGCAGCCTGCTGGGCTCCCCCACTGCAAATAGAAGGAGCCAGGGGGCCCCACAATACCACCACGCCACCAGGGATGGAATACATTTACATGATTACATTACATGCATACATTAGTAAACACACACACACTCTGCATTCACTACACTGACACACCCTGAGCATTCACTACACTAACACACACTCTGCATTCATTACACTAACACACACTCTGCATTCACTACACTAACACACACTCTGCATTCACTGCACAAACAGTATCTAATACACACAAACACTACATCCATTACTCACATTCTAATTCACTTCCACTATACACACCACATTCAGTCATGTATCACTGACAGCAGACTAGGTAGGAGTCCTGTGGGCGGACTCCTGGGTGGGCCTGGGGGGCGCCCAGACCTTGTGCTTTGTCAGGGGCCCCAAAATTTCTGGTGGCAGCCCTGAGCATTTATAATATTAATTCTTCCCAGCCAGCTTAGTAGCAAAGTGTTCCATTTTTTTAAAGTTAAACCTGTGGATTTCATCAACTTCAGGAAGTTGATCTCTATTATTCTATCTATATTATCTGATATATTACCAGATAGTCGAAACTTCCCTGAGCTTTTTCTATCCACGTCACAATTTTTGAATATAAACACAGTTTTATCTATATTTATCTTATAGTTAGATATTTCGCTATATTACGTTATCTCATCCATCAGATGAGCAACGGAAGCAAATGGATTGGTCAGGATCATTATAGTGTCAGCTGCATACATGCACAATTTAAATTCCTTGGCGGCTATTGGGATCCCTTTAATATCCAGATTTTCTCTTATTCTTATTGCTAGAGGCTCCATCGAAAGAATATATAGTACTGGTGACGTGTGCCATTGCCAAACCGAAACCAGTCGGAGCATAAATCTATTTCCACCAGTGTATTAAAAGGCTTGTATTTTATCTTTTCCTTTATATCAAACAGATTATAGCTATGATCCCCCATGGATTGTCCTTTATTATAATTTTCTGCATTTGTTCTACTAGACCAGTGTTGGCGAACCTATGGCACTCGTGCAACAGGTGGCACACCGGGCTCTCTCTGTGGGCACACGGCCATAGGTCGCCGGGGGAGGGGGCCGCTGGCTTTCTGCAGCAATGTAGAGTAGGCACCTGCCTGCCCAAAATGGCAGGTGC